AAGAAAGAAAGAAAGAAAGAAAGAAAGAAAGAAAGAAAGAAAGAAAAAGAAAGAAGAGGGAGGGAGGAAAAGAGAAAGAAAGAAAGAAAGAATATCATGTATAGTTCAATCCCCTCCCCTTGGCACCCCAGTCCATAGTCCAATTATAATTCACCCAACTGTCAGGTGGGAGATATCTTCAAAAAACATCACCAGATGTTGGAATGCTGGACAGTTAACCTTGGCGGGAAACTCCCTTCCTCTGCATGCGCAATGAGATGGTCAGGCCAGCGTCTAGAATTTTCCTCCAGCACATAATGCTTCCCTTCCCAAACACCATGCCCCCCCTCCCTGTTTCAATGGCAGCCGAAGCAGCAGCAAAGCAGAGGCTGACAGACATCTTGCATATGAACATAATACTTAGTCAATTTTAGTGATCTATTAATGAATTCTTTCTTCGTACTTTCTCTGGTCCTTTGGTGGAATAGCTAAAAATTCAGAATGTTTAACTTCCATATTTGTTCAGTCATAGTTTATTATATCATCTAACTTTAAATTGTAGTTAACAATTGTAGCTAAATTTGTTTAGTGAAAATTAAGGTAAGAAATTAATTTGTTTTACCAGACATAAATAAAACTAGTCCCAGTTTTCAGTTTGAACTACGGTAATGGTGAACTATTGCTAAGTGAAAATATAAACTAGTATTTCCTATTTCTTTTCCCTCATCTGAAGGACCCCAGAAAATTATTAGGTTTATACATATCTCTGGCTATTTGGTGTTTTCCACAACAGCTTGCAAATTGTTTGAAAGATGGCTTCAGAATGTATGGAACACACTTTGTTCAGGTGTGCGATTTGCACTTTTTTCAGTGAAGAGGTTATGTCTGAATGCATAGAGTCAGCCAGAAGCAACTTGATATAGTTGCTTTGCAAATCTGAGCTTCAAAGAAGCTTTGGGACAATCTAAAACATGGGTGTCAAACTCGCCACGTCTTGTTGCCATTTCATGGCGGTTTTCCCGTTCATGGAGCTGGGGTGGGTGTGGCCAGCATGTGACACTCCTGCTCTAAAACATTCATTTGAAAGGTTTTGGAGAAAAATCCTGCTCTTCATTTAGATTGTCATTACCAGCCGTTCTGGTTGCTGACTTTTTATGAAATAATTTTAAATTATATTTTAATAGTTGGTCTTATTTTACTTCTGTGGTGATCATTCTGCCCAGCAGAGAATAATTAAAAATACTGGAGATACTTTTCACCTGGGGATGAAAATTTATAGCACGGGCATTTCTTACTGTTCAGATACGTAGCCAAAGAGGAAACCAACTTCTCCCACATATTGGCATGACTTTTGGGAGATACGCCTTACTTTTGTTGGAATCAATATTTTGAATGGATCTGTTTTATTCATATTCTACAGGCGGCTCTGACAATCCTAATTTCATCTTAGTTGTTCAGTTTTTTCAATTAAATAGGAGTTGTGGATCTAGCACTCCTAGGAAAATGTCTTCTTTTGTGCAAAAATTCACAGCCTTTTTTTTCTCCTGGTAAGAAGCAGGGACTTCAACTGTCTGCTGAATATTTTTATTTCAGCTAAGAAAGACTGAAATATATGTACAATGGTTAGATGAAAAAAGAAGTATTTGATGCTACTGCATATTTACAAAGAGGATAGCTATTGAAAGTCACCTACCTCTTCTCATAGTAACATACTACAGCCATATTCAACTATGCAAACTACGGATAAAATTAGAAAGGCGGTGCTTTCAACTTCTAAAATTTTGTGTGTGTAAAAAGAGGCAAGCATTAGATAAAATTCACAGCTTCTTTAGCCCTGGTACTTAATGTGTGTGTAAAAAACACGCCCTGGCTTCTGTAATCCCTTGGAAATACACACAGTTGCGTCTCTTCTTGATTTCCAGAAGTCTCCTGGAAAACTCCTGTGCTCCTGGATTGAAATTAAAGTGTTTGTAGAACTCCTGTTCAGGTTTTTATTTTTCATTTTGGGAGTCTTGTTTTGGTCCAGAGATGTAATTATTAGTTATTTTTTAATATATGCATTGGACTTAACAGTATTTTTCCAAGAGTCTTCGTAGAGTTGGGTGGCCTTAACAGATCTAATAAATGAACAATATACGGCTTCTCAGTTGAATCATTTTCATGTTATCAATGGTGTAACTATAGTAGTGGCGCAGTGGTTAGAATGCAGTATTGCAGGCTAATTCTGCTGACTGCCAGTAGTTTGATTGAGAAACTCAGATTGTTGGGGGGGAAGGGAATGCTGACTCTGTAAACCACTTAGAGAGTACTATAAATAGCACTGGGGCACCGCGGCTCAAAAGCACTATGAGCCAGTATATAAGTGCTATTGATATAGTGGAGATAGAAGAAGTGGTTACCTTGGGCCTTGTGAGCTGAGACTTTAGTCTTTAAAAAAAAGATGGACCTGGCCACAGACAGTTGTAGGACCAATGTACACGGTCCCATGAGGAGAAGCTAATTTGACCAGGGAACATATTGGATATAGGTGACCACTTTCTTCCTTTCCTCCTCAGCCCTTCAGGAGACTCATATCCACTCTTCTGGCAGAGGTACAGTTGTGTGATGCTTCTCCTTTTCTTTCTTCTTTCTGCCCTGAATTGCTACTGCTTGAGCTTTCTAACCCATTGATGGGGCCACTGGAGAGATTTGGCTTGCAGCTCAGTGGGTTAGTGGTGGTGAAGGTATTAGATTAGGAGAGGAGAGACCAGTTTCTTGCCTGCTCTCAGTTGTGTAAGCTCCCTGGTGACTTTGGGCCCATCATTCACCCTCTGTCCTACCTAGCACATGGTGACACTATTGAAGGGGAAATTGGAGGAAGGAGCTCTAAGTACGCTACCTTCAGCTCCTGAACAAAAGGCAGGATATAAATCCAATAAATAATATAATATTCATGCTCCTGCACCTCTTCCGCAGTGCACCTTCTCTTTGAAAAGAAAATGAATCTGTGTCAGTGCAGGCAGTACAGTAAATGTCTTTCCAGTCATCCCAGACTGGTTGAAATGATTGATATTTTTGCTTCTTTCTTTTTTGCTTCCCGTTGCTGCTTTTCTCCTGCCAAGTTTGGATCGCCATATGCAAGCACACCACGGACATCACAAACCATTCCGCTGCAAACTCTGCCCTTTCAAGTCCTCCTATAATAGCCGGCTGAAAACTCACCTACTCAAAGTCCATGCTGGTAAGTCTCTTCCTCAGTTTCATAGGTCCCCTTCCTTCCCCCCCCCACCCCCCTTGCTGTTTTCTGCTGCTGTAGCCTCATCAATTAACAGTAGCTTGCAGCCTTAAAGTGAGCCTTGGGGCCAATTAGGGGAAAAGTGCTTAAGTTAAGCTAATTCTCCATTCAGCAAATCTTAAACTGGAATTGAACCAATTTAGGTGATCCTAAATTAGACACAGGCTGGAACTTAATTCCAGAGCCATAATTAAACTTCTTCTAGGGTGGAAACCAGGGCAAGAGGTTGAATTAAGAGCTTAGGCTACAGCAGAACAGCCAGCCCCTTTGAATAGTAAATGTTAAACAGGTTGAAATAAAAGACCTGTGCCAAATGTTCATATTCAGATTATGTGGTGTAGTTTTACACTTTGTTTTGAGCCTAGTCATAGCCATTATTCCTTGCGTATTTTGTTGTTTGGTATAATTTCGTGTTTACATTAACAGTCTGCTTTTTGGTTACTGTGCGAAGATCCCAGATCCCATATCGTACACTTTTATGAGGATAGGGACATAGAATGTCGCTGCAGGGTTCAGTGAGAATAAGCAATAAGAATGGAGTGCACACTTTAAGATACATTCATGGACAGATCGTCATGCTTTAAATGTACATTTTGAAGCATTTGTATTCTAAGAAATCACATTCTGATCCCAGATAGGATCAGATAGGAATCTGATAGGTGGGAGCCTTGGTGACCTTCTGGGAAGACTTTATAACCTTTGAATTGATGGACTCCTTTAAAATTGTGGGAAACCATGAATATTTTAATAAGCAATATTCAGAAACTTCCAATTCCTATGGTTTACCAAAATTCTAGTAAGTATTACAATGTGTAGTCTGTTCAGTAAAGCACAGAGAAATTAGGTGACTTTATTAAATGAGAATTTAATCTGACAGTTATAATTTTGACTGTGTTCTTCATCAGCTACATAACTAACGATAGCTTGAAAATAATTAAGTACAGCCTGCTAACTCTTTAATTTATGGGCATACATTTCAAAACCAAGAATTTCAATAATAGCTGTGGGCTTCAGAGATTTGTCTTCAAAGTTAATGTTGTTGAGAAAGATACAAGTTTGTTAAAACAAACGTAGTTTGAAACCTCTTACTTAAAATAAGTAAGAATACTTGCAAATTTTATTTTTTATAGTTGTGTCTATGATCGTTTTTGTAAGTCTTAGTTCTTCAATAAGTATAGCATAGTACTTGATGGCTGTTATGTCCTATCCTATTACAGGTTTGTTTTTTATAAGCTTTGGTTTCATGTATCAATTAGCCCCCAAAAAATTGGGTCGGGAAGAGGGTAGATTGGCCCCATCACTCAAATTTCCAAACTCCTTCCAGGAGTGATAATTGAGTGATAACTCTCTATAATTTTTAGATCAGATCTTTAGGAAATTATATTGAAGGTGTGCCCTGAAGACAATCATTCCAGTTTATGTTCTTTCAGGAATGTTTAGCCAATGTTATAACTTAAAAATACTTGCATGCAATTTTCAGTGTTTGTGTTCCTCTTTAACATAGTCATGAGTATCAAGATGTGGTTATGTGATTTTCATTGTGCTATGTGCTGCTACAGTTTTACCAGAGTTTACCCATTAGGATTATATGACTTATTTCTACCTTGATTTTTTTTTCTCTGTGATTACATTTCTATTCAAAACTGGTATTTTATTTCAATGCTAGACATGACAGAGGCACTATTTTTATTCAATTCTATTTTGATTGAGTACAGAATTAACTTGTGGAATTTTCTAGCACTAGATAACAGTATTGGCCAATAGCCCAGATGGTTTCAAACATGGGTTGAGCACATTCATATACATGAGCTATCTTCATGGCTAATAATCTTAATAATTAAGGGAATTTCTGTGCAGTGTCTCTGAATCCCAGCTCTTTTATCTAGTTAGCAGAGGAACGGTGGCTGCTTGTACACTTGCTTATACATATCCGGAAAACATTTATTCAGCATTGTAAATGTACACTAGAATCATATAGTTGAAAGGGACTTTTGGACTAAACTAGATTCATCCTTTATTCTAGCGTAATAAAGTTGTACTTATGAGCCCAGTTATGTTGCAACATATATTTTTTAATATTACTAGATGTTTGTTTCAGTTGACTCTTAAATGGAAAATGACTGGATATGGGGATTTCTTTTGAAAAGTTTTTTTAAAAACAAAGGAAGTGATGCTTTTGAAATGCTATTATATTTCTTCATACCCACAGATCCTATTCATTTGATTTGCTACTGATATTTTCTTTAGCTTTTCTGAGATTCTTGACCTAATGTATATTTTGCAACTAATCCTTCAGAAAGAGTTTTGGCCAATTAATTGTCTGTTTGCACAATATCTTTTTCTTTTTTTTAATGTCAAAGGATTTGTTTTGGGTTGTTAATTATTAGCTGCATAACCAGAAGTAGAGCAGGAAGGCTGGAAGCATTTAGCGTCTTGCTGAAGTGTATTTTGGGGTTATATGCTGCTGTCTTAATGGAGGAATCAAATAATACCTTTCTGTACTGAAAAACTGAGCCTCTCATAATATTCTCCAGTGACCTCCATATTCTATTTTATTTTTCTTCTACATAACTCACTTTGAGGAATGCAGAGCGCTTTAGTTATTCTAACCTTTATCCTAAACATTCATCTCTATGGAACTTCTGTTTTGTGAATGAACATCCTGGTGTAGACTTTGTCATTTTTGCTTTTTGTATTTAACAGTTGGTTGATGTGCTTGTTTATAAATATATTTAGCAAAGGAACTCTCGTTTGTTTTCCTCTTGTCAATTCTTATTCTCATGTTGTAACTTCTGGCTGAAGTGTGTATTTTGTTCTATTGTATTTAGAAGAAATGTTAGAATCAGGTCATGGTGGGTGTTCTCACTTATATGGGTGTCTCCTGTTTCCTGGTGCAGAAAAATGGGATTTCTATCAGCAGTTCATTTGCAGGATCCAATCTGAGTTGGTCCCTTGAACCAGAGGTTTAATCTTCTGAGCTTTCAGTCTTGTGCTGAAGCCCAACCTCAGGGAATTTCTGGTGAGAGAGAACCCTGAGAATGGGCTTCAGCACAAATCCGGAACAGTGGTGGGTTTCAATTTATTTTATTACCGGTTTGCTCGTGCGCAGAAGCGAGTGGGTGGAGCTTCCAGCCACCGCCACTACCAGTTTGCCCGATCTGGGGTGAACTAGCAGAAACCCACCTCTGGTCTGGAAGCTTGAAAAGCTAAACCTCTGGTCGCGGTGATCAATCCAGATTGGATCCTGCAACATTATCCTAGGACACGATCATGTACAATATACAATCTCTCACATTAGAGACAATTTGATATAGAGATTAAGGCCCCCGGCTAGAAGCTAGGAGACTGTGAGTTCTAGTTGTGCCTAGGCAATGTGACTTAAATTTTGGGCCAGTCATTCTCTCACCACTAGAAAAAAGCAATGACAAATCACTTTCCAAAACTTTTGCCAAAAACTGCAGTACTTGTTTAGGCAATCACCATGAATCAAAACTGACTTTGGCAGCACAACAACAAATATTCCATGCAATAAATATCCCTTCAATCATATTATTTTGTGAGTTCCTTGTAGCCTCCCCCCCCCCCCGGTTGAATGGCAGGAAGGTTGAATGGGCAGACCTGATCCTTAAATGTTAGTCCGACTCAATAGAAAAAAATGACTTGTGTTCATATAGTAGTTCTTGAAAACATTTATCATTCATCATGCTTTCATGCTTAATGTCTTGAAACAGCCATCTTTTCCTCCACCTGAATGTCACCTTGTTTTTTAAACTGAAATTTTGTTCATCATAAACAATTACCCTAAATAAGCATTATTATATGAAATCCATCAGATCTTGGAGAAGTCTTTCATGTCAAAGACAGTGTCCTTGTAAAATTTGAAACCCCTTTATCACTTAATTCCTAACTGCACTCCTTTTCATCCTTTGAACCTTTTGCACATTTTCCATCTAACATCATCATATTCATTTGTCTGTGCATCTTCTAATGTGCTCAGTTGTTCAGGCACCAAAACTAGTTGTACCATAATTCTATTATGCTGCATTAGATCTGTATAATGAAAGATTATCAGATTGTAAGATCGGTTAGAAGTCATAGAATCATAGGGCTGGAAGAGACCTTGGAGGTCTTCTAGTCCACTCCCCTGCCTAGGACAGTAGTCTTTATTCCATCCTGGACAAAGTGTTGTCCAATCTTCTCTTGAAAAACTTCAGCAATAGAATACCCACAACTTCAGGAGGCAAGCTGTTCCATTGACTAATTCTCAGGAAATTAATTCCAGGTTACATCTTCCTCTGATGAGTTTCCACCCATTTCTTCTTTCCTGCCCCCAGGTGCTGTATTGACTCGTCAGGAATTATATTGAAGATAACTGGAAAGTAGAAATTATTTCCATTAAGCCATCTACATGAGGCTCATTACCCAATGACATATATTTACTGTTCTATTTTGCTATTTTATTTATATATGTTGCTTTTATGACTTTGAAGAATTATAAATGTCAGGTGATGGTAGTGATGGTGTGTGTGTGTTTGTGTGTGTGTGTAATGTAAGAGAATAATGAGATTTTTTTTTTAGAGATTTACATGAGAGAAGTATTGATACAGCAGACAGTGGAATTGAAATGAATGTTATTGTTAGTGCTTAAGAAAAAAAATGATGAAAAGTAATAAATGCTAGAAGAATGTTGAAAAATGGTAAAACTGCAGGTATAGATGGTGGACTTGGAGAAATGTCAAAAGAGGGATGTGTTGGAGTGGCTGTGCATTTATATAATATGTGTGAAGATTTCATCTATGTCTGATGATTGGAAGTGCCATTATGTTCCTTTGTACAAAGGGAAATATAACAAGAAGGAATGTAAGAATTACACAGCAATTAAGTTGTCTCATATACTTGGGAAAGTTTGGGCAGAATTCTGATCTCAAAATGTGGCACTGAGCAGAATTTGAGAAATGCATATGGTGTTATGCCAACCAAAGACTTAGAAAGCAGAAGTTTTGTTTCTGAACAGATTAATGAAAAACATGAGAAAGAAGGGTTATTATACTGATTGATATATAGAACGCATGCTAAAATAAATAGCATTGAATTAAGGGATATTTTATAAGAATATAGAGTTGAAGGCTGCTGAGAACAGACTGTTGAATGTAAAGTACTGGCATGTTCAAGAATAATAAAAATAATGAAGAATGAGAAGAATAAATAAATGCTTAAAAGATTCAAAAAGGATTTCCTTTTGGTTATTTAATATATTTCTGCATATACTGTGTGTGTGTGTGTGTAGTACTTTTGTTGACATTACAGATACATTTGTTTGGAATGTGAATGTCTATGTACATTTCTGTAGAAACGATGCTGAGTTGTTGGCTGAGGATCCAGATGATTTGCATTTAATTCTAAACTTTAATGTATTAAAGATCAAAGTAGTTATCTTTGAGAGGAATAATAAAGTTAAGTACTGCAAGCTATGAAAAAATTATAAAAAACAATAACAGGTTTTTAAAGATGAATTTATGAACCTTAATAAAATATTTATCAAAGATGGGAAACTGAAACTACATGGAAGTGATTTGGTCAGAAAGAATGAATGAAGTTAGTGGGTCAAGAGAAAACAAAACACTGGAAATATAACTGGATAATGTTGATAAAGATCTTCAAAAAACATGAGAAATTTAAAAAAGAAAAGACAGTGGATAGATGTGGTGGATGCAGGGATGATTCTCAAGTATAGAAAGATAAGGAAAATTATGGTGTTACAAGTAATCCTCCTTTAACAATGGAAATTGGAACCAGAAATCCCATCACTAAGTTGTGGACTTGTTAAACACGATGTCATACAACTGTGGCAGTTAGTGACTGTTCTGGCAGCCCCAGTTGCCATCATTAAGTGACAGCCATGCAGTTGTAAACCAGGGACATCACATGACTTGTGATTTACAACTTCCTGTCGGCTTTCCCATTGACTTTGTGAGAAGCCGGCAGGGATGGTTACCAATTATAATCATATGACCGTAGAATGCTGTGATGATGGGAAATGCAGAGCGGTTATTGAATGCCCAAATCTCAGTCACATGACTGGGGGTGCACTGTGATGGGTGCAACTACAAGCACCAGTTGTAAGTATCATGTATAAGTGCTATCACTTATTAATGGTACTTAACACCTGCCACTGAACAAGCTAGAACTACTGATCTAATTCTCCTTTTGATATCTATGCTTTTAATTCCTCTGGGTTACATTTTCCTGTTTTTTTTTTTAATGCACTTTTACCTTGCTTCCCCGGGAAAGAAATAATGTGATGGGCATGTAAGTCTGTATATATGATGCCCAAATGTCAAGTTCAATTCAAGTAAAAGGATTAATTAGTAGTTACCAGTAGACACACTAGGAGAGTTTACGGTTTCACCCCTGGACTCATGACCTCAATCAACACGGTACAAGTAACACATCATTAATCATGTTAATGAGGGTTATTATCATTTAAGTACTGTTTGGCATGAATATTATGTTTTCACTGTACACTTTAGCCCCTGGTATTTCCCTTCTTATCTCTTGGAGATTGACTTGCTTCCTTAAGCGAAGCTGCCCCATCCCCATTTTCTGCCCCTCAAGCAATTTTTGTTAGGCTTTGCTGTCCTATCAATATGCCATGCATATAGGGAATTTTCACCGTGGATAACAATCAGCAGCTCATTTATCTGAATGTTCAATCTCTCATATTAGAGACAATTTGGTGCAGCGCTTAAGGCACTGGGATATTGTGTGTTCTAATCCTGCCCTAGGCAATTTGACTTAGACTTTGGGCCAGTTATTCTCTCTCAGCTAGAGGAAAAAGCAGTGACAGACCACTTTCCAAAACATTTGAAGGAAAAAACAGCGTCCAGTACGTCAACCAGGTTTCAGCGTTGGTCCTAAGATTAAAGGAAATAGGACAGTTCCAACGATTTTATTCTATAGGACCATCCAAAGGAGGATCCCATGAGATTTCGTTAGGACCCAATGCCGATTCCATTTGAAGAAAAATATCCCCCTCCCAAGCTTCCTTTCTGACCCCCCTACTTTTTCCCCCTCCTGTTGTCCTGTGAGCTGATGACTTGCTTGTTGTTTTGCTCAAACAGGTGAACATGCGTACAAATGTTCCTCCTGTTCATTTTCCACCATGACAATCAGCCAGCTAAAAGAGCACTCCCTGAAAGTGCATGGGAAGGCATTGACACTACCAAGACCACGAATTATCAGCCTTGTAACCTCGCATGCTCAACATGCCTCCAAGAACCACACTACTGCTGAAGAAGTGGAAGACTCGAATGGTAAGAGGTGCTCTCGGCACCCCCCCCCCGCCTTCCTTCCTGCCGCAGGGTTCTAGAGGGAGAATCTGTTTTCTTCTCCTCATGGGGGGAAAAAGCAGTCTAATTCTGAGGTAATTTTTTTTTTCACTTGTAAAGAAAGAAAGAAAAATCTCTTTCCACGTAAGCAAAATGGATGTTGATAGGCACAGAAGAGCAGTGCTCGTTCATGTTTTATCCCTATAATTGGCACGTAAACAATTTAGATTTCCCCGCGTTTAGGATACTGCATTATCAATATTTTGCAGCTTTAAAATGAAGAAGCAGAAGCATTACAGACTTCCCCTAGCTCAGGATTATGTTGTTGCAGAAACGAGGCTAAAATATTTGTTGATCCTTGGCTGTCACCATTCATACAGTAGCAGCAAGAGGTGTTTGGCAAAGCAAATTTGTTGATTCATTTTTAAGCAATGCCATATGGAGACAGGAAACCTGAAATGTGAGCCTTCCTTAACCATAGTAAAGAGATGTGCCCTGCTGTCCCGCCCCTCAACACATATTCTCTTCCTTATCAATTCTGACATTTTCTGACACTAGGCTGTGAAAACATCTATAAAAACCAGCTAGCAAGTCTCTGAGTAGCTTTAACAAAAATGTCTAAATACCAAAAAGGTTAATGCTGTGAACTGGTCCACCACTTCTGCTATTGGAGTCAATGTATGTTACAACTAAACTGGCCTCGTGATTTTTGTGTAGCAAATGTGGCACCTGTGAATGGAATAGAATGTCAGTAATGCTTAGTACAGTTAATTTCTTAGAATCCTATAACTTTCCCATATAACAGATTGTTTAGAATTTGATAACTTATTTTTAAAAGCATTATCAGGTTACACACATTTAATAAAGTTTGGTTAGTTTATCGCATGTCAGGTTGTGTAATTTTTGGCATTTAATCTTCAAAAACTATGAAAGGTCAGGCAAGTACTTTAGCACTATATCTCTCTGCTCAGACTCTTTTAGTAGGACTTTTTGTCAAATGAAAATTGTATTTGGTTACAGGTTTTTTTTTTCTGGCAACATAGAAAGAATAATTAATCTGATTTAAACCAAATTAGTAAGTAAAAGAAACATATTTTTTTTCTAGCATGAAGCAAAAGAGGTGTGGGGGTTGTGTGTTATTCTTTATACTGACATAACTATCTTTGTTTTTACAAAATATTTGTGAGATGAGCAAAATAAATCTAAAGACTTTGGATCTGTGAAAAAGACTAAATCTGTATTGATATTACTAAAATGCAGTTTCTTATACCGTATAAGCAGCAATAATGTCCTTGTTTGCTCTCGGTTGTATATTCATTCAGATATGCAGTGGTGATTTTTTTTTTCAAAATATATAATTTTATATCAAGAGACTATTAGGGGGAAAAAGTATATTCCCAAACAACTTGATATTGGCAAGGGGTTGGGGAATTCATTTATTTTAAATAGTTCTTAATAATAAGAAACCAATCCACGTATTAGCAAAAAGGATGTCTCTCTTAGCCAGATCAGCTAACAGAATTAGAAGGACTGTGTTGTGGATATCCACTCACCCTTTACTAATAGGCTTATTAATCACATTATTTTTGACAATTATGGAAACAGCTGACTAAGGAGCCTGTACAGGTGCTGAAATAATGAAATTGACATCCTCAGCCTCATTTGGTAAAGGGAGAAATCCCTCCGGTGATTTTTCTAAACTTTATACTGCTGGACAACAATCTCATTACAGGTAGTCCTTGACTTAACAACCATTTGTTCGGTTATAGCTACACTGAACAAAGGCAGTTATGACCAGTGCCTGAGGTTTCTGTCATTGCAGCGCCACCTATGGTCACATGATAACAATTCAGGAGGGGTGTGATGCTAATTCGCCTCCTCATGGTACACTCTGGAGAGCATGGAAGTGTGAACCAAACAACTAGCAACAATTGGCAGCCAAACTACATTGAAGAATAGGCAGCTAACAACAGTTGACAGTCAGACATCTTTGTAGAACTCCTGGCTCCCTAAATACATGGCAACGAATAAACAACATCAAGAGCTTACATCGGTCTGATTTTTTCGGCATGGACCACCCTGTCCTTGGATGGCTGGGTGGACTGGACATTTGAACTTCTATAAGTCCATGTATTTGCCATACGCTAAATAAATAAAGAAATAAACAATTCAGGCACTTGGCATCCCACCTGTACTTACAACCCACAGGGGTGCTTCAACTTCCCCCACCTATCTTTTTCTTCTCACATCTATGCCCTGTTTGCTAATCAATATGGATACTTGGCATTGTACTTTATGGTTGCATCACTTAGCAATGGAAATCCCAGTCCCAATTATAGCTGTAAGTTAGAACAAGCTCCACAAGTTGGCTTTACTGCTAAATTGCTCGCTATTGCTCATTGGTATATAAAGTTATTGTCATGGCCTTGTCGGAGGCCGAGGCCGAAGAGGAGGAGACCAAGATGGGTCTGATGGAAGAAGATGAAGCAGCCTCTCTGGCCCTGGAGGAGTGACTGGAGGAACAGGATGAGGCAGCCCCAGGTGCCTCGGGCCTGGGAAGGGTCATCAGAGAGGAAGAGGGGGCGCAGCATGACTGAGTGAGGGGGAGGAGATATAAAGGACAGGCAGTGGAGCAGAGGAGCGACGGAGAAGAGCAACTGTCTCCCCTGCCTGATCCCCAAGCACAGAGAATGGAGAGGAGGCAGGATCAATGCAGGGTGACTCGGGAGGAGGGCATCCCACGCTTTGTCCCCAGGCTTACCTGGAGAATAGGATTTAAGGAGACACTGTGGGGAGGGGTGTTTGTCAAGAAAAGTGTTGCATTCTTCCAGCCACACTCGCGAATACCGACATCTTGCCACCTTCCTTTGCCTTGCCTGGATTTTGAAGGAAGGTTGGAGCAATAAAAGGGAATTAAGTCTTTGCTTCAGTTATGTCGCTTTCGTGTCCAGCCCTGGTCATCACAGTTATATGATTGCTTAAAAATACAGAAATCTATGTCCATATATGGGACCAAGGACATATATGGCAGAGAGTTTTGAGACCTTTTAATATTTATAAGTACAGATAGTCCTTGACTTTTAACAGTTTATTTAGTGACTGTTTGAAATTACAATGAAAAAAGTGACTTATGACCATTTTTCACATCTGCAACTATTGCAGCAGTTACTAACTACTAACAACTACAACGAGTCACTTAACAAATGTGGCAAGAAAGATTGTGAGAGGGGGCAAGAGTCACTTAATGCAGCAAAAGTGACTGAACTCGCTTAGCAGAAAGTTTAGTCTCAATTGTGTCGTAAGTCAAGGACTACCTGTAAATTGTATTTCTTATCAGACTTCCTTAGAAACGCAAATTTCCTTACTACCAAGCCATTTGTTAAATTCCATTTAGTTCTAGTATCTCTAGCAATATAATCACATTTACCGTATTTTTCGGAGTATAAGACACACCTTTTTTCCTCAAAAAAGAGGCTGAATATCTGGGTGTGTCTTATACATCGAATACAGCATTTTTGCCTCCCCGAAGCCCCACCCCCTTCACCAAAATGGCCGTGCATACTCTTATGGAGGCTTTCAGAGAGCTCCTGGGGGTTGGGGAGGGCAGAAATGAGCAAAAAAGGGCTGTTTTTTGCTCTCTTAGCAGCACTCTATAAGCCTTCATAAGGCTATGCATGCAATTTTTTTTGACAAAAACCAGGCCCATTTTTGCAAAAAAAACCTGGCTGTTTTTTTGCTCATTTTTGCCCCCACCCCACCCCCAGGAGTACTCTGCAAGCCCTCCCAAGGCTATTCATGCCTCTCTCTTTTTTAAAAAAAACAGACGTGTTTTCACAAAAAACAGGCCGTTTTTGGGAGGTTTACAGAGTGCAAAAACTTTTTTTTCCTTTTGGAAAGCTCTTTAACTGATTGAGAATTACATTGATCAAGTGCTGTGCCAACAGAAACAAAGTCTTAAGTGCTGCAGATGGTCAGCGATTTCCTTCTCCAGCACATGGAGAAATACACATGGAAACATCTACCTACCTAACTACTCTCTCTCTCCCTCCCTACTTACTGTATTTCTCTCTCTCTCTCTCTCTCTCTCTCTCTCTCTCTCTCTCTCTCTCTCTCTCTCCCTTTATCTACCTATCT